CTCTCTCTCTCTCTCTCTCTCTCTCTCTCTCTCTCTCTCTCTCTCTCTCTCTCTTTCTGTCTTGTTCTCCAAGATATGAGACAGAAAATAATATTGTTTTCGTTTTTTTAAAAAAGGAAGCTTTGTCCCCGGGGCCAAAATGGTTATCAGTCAAAGCAAGAAGCACGGAATGATTCTTGCAAAATCAATCAATGTTTTATTATGGTCACAGGCCAGAATGAAAAAAAATTAAGACATTAAAATCAAACAAAGCAGAACGAAACGTAATTTTATATTACAGTTAGCGGTGAGGTCATTGATGGGCAACAAAATCCGCCTGACTTTACCAAGGGTAGAGCAGAATTTAGCTGCGGTCAAGGAGACTGTGTCATGCGGATCTGATGGCAACAGCTGTCTATTAAAAGAGATCACATTTTTTTCCCCTGGATATTTTACCGTATTCAATTTCTTATTGAATTAACCGCATCACTGGATCTAGGGTTTGCATTCACACATTCTTCTTGTCTGGGTTTGAAACAGAATAGTGTGTTGGAGGTACCCAGATACCTCCTTTGCTTGTTTAGGTTGGGTATACCGGCCCAACTCAAATCCAATCACTAGATTAAGTGTTTTGGATGAACACACATACAGTATATCATCTTTTGAACCAGCTTAGAAAATCAAAATAGTTTTATCATGCTAAGGGTGATGGAGAAAGGGATGAAGAAGCAAGGCTGAAATTCATTGCTGATTCAATGTCATCAGAGTTCTGATCACGTTCCAATGATAGCTCTGGACTTCGCATGTCCACCCAAGGGACCAATACGTGATACGATTCTCTTGAATGCCTTAGCCCTCATAGACTCAGCAGCTGGATTCACATGATGTATCTAACTCTAAACCCAGGTTGAGAACCCAGAATTGCTATTTACAACCCCAAATTGCCATTAAATACTCAGTGGCTAGGAAAAACAGCCAGATCCTGGCTCACGTACCATGCTAAAACAATATATCTGGTTTTATTATCACACCATAGAAAAGAATATATGTAGCTTAGGGCTGAACTGTAAAGTCCTTGGGCCTTCCTAAGCTTGGTGATTTGCTAATAGATGTTTCATGATCCGACTAGGTAATACTGAACCAAGGAGAAAACCACCAGCTCATCAACACTGGCAGGTCAAATTACTGTATATAATCAGGGAGCAAACCCCACTTACTTCTTGCACTGATGACATTACCTAGTTGGGTCATGAAACGTCTGCAAACAAATTACCAAGCTCACAGTCCTTCTTCTCCTCTCATTCTCTTTCTTTTCCACTCTGTAAACTCCATTCCCTTCTACTGATGATGTTACCTAGTTGGGTCATGAAACGTTTGCAAAGAAACTACCAAGCTCAGAGAGCATCAAGGACCCCACAGTCCTCCTCCCTCCGCCTTCTAGCACTGATGATGTTACCTAGTTGGGTCATGAAACGTCGGCGAGAAAACCACCAAGCTCAGAGAGCATCAAGGACCCCACAGTCCTCCTCCCCCC